GCATGTTCCCTAGAGTCGCCAAGGATTTCCCACCGTGAATAGGGTTCTGAAAAGGAGAAAAGAGAGAGAGAAAAAGGCTTTTCAGTTCAAAACATTTACAAAATCTTGACTAAAATTTCCGTGCATTGGCCTGAGGTGGTAATCAGATCCCCAAAAGAAAAAGTCTGTTTTTAGCATTGATATCGGTCCCATTAGTTTTACCGGACTTACCTTGGCTGAAGTCGTCAGGTTGCATAATTATATCAGATCAGCTTCGGATATTAGGTGTTAGGCATCGATTACATCAACTACCCAGATTAGATTCTCAGGGGTCGACATCCCAAACATCTTTCAAATACAGCTTCAATGTCCTTCATTCTGGCTTCTGGTTCGACAAGGTTTATTATTCTTGATTAGGAAGGTATGACAGACAAATTCTATGTCAAGTTTTAAATATCCATGAAATTTTCATTGACAAGGACGTTATGATCTGGTAGGCTCGAAGAAGCTGAGTGTGTTCCTTGTCATGACGTTCCATATTTTTTTATATTTCCACCTATCATGGTACCCTTTTCCTTTTCAATCTCTTCATCCCGACATACCTATATATATTCTATAACTGTCTCTGAATATACACATAAGCTAAGACTAAGGCAATTGTACCTTTCACCAATTTTCAACTCATGCCACTTTGGTCTGGTTACATTGAGAGCTAGTTCGACTTAGAAGAGTCTGGTTTCCATAAGCTCGGTATGAAAGATCCATGAGCGAAATTCCTGTCTGTATTGAGGGTACCACCTGCTCAGTTGAACAGATATGCTACATCTAGTGTGCTCAAATCTTATGACACACTGCAAAAGGCAGTTCTTAAGCGCGGAGACCTAGCCGATCGGTAAAGTTTTGACAGACTTTTCTACAACATCAAATTGCAACGGCGAAAGCAGTATTGTTACGTGTGACAGAGGTCATTAGCCAACGAGTTTTCGACAAAGGCCTTTTCCGACTTTTCTTGCCATCCACACTTCCTCCACAGGCGCAAGCTGTTCTCGTCTCATTCCCGAATGACGTCATAGAGGATCTGACTTCATCTGTCAGTCAGAATACTTAGACCACCAGAACCTCATGTTTCGGACTTCACAATGTGCTCATTCTCTTTCTTAACCTTCAGTGAAATCGTAAATGATGAGAAACGCTTGAGAAAGAATATCTGGAAAAGAGTTTGTTTCTGAATCCCAAAAAATGAATGACTGTGATTGGTGTCGGCACCACAGCACCTACGGTAAATCATACAAGGAATGAAGGACAAATTTCACTTCCCCTTGCTCTCAATCTCCTGTCACAAGCATCTCGGGAGACACTCCAGCCGGTACTCGTTTACGTCTTTATGGAGGTAATAAGTATGTCACGGACATATGTGTTGCTATACTCTGAATGGTCGTGCTGTCCCGAAATCGAATTTTTATACTGTCTTGTTTCTACCTATTCTCAATAATACACTTTGAATCAAAAAGATACGTCCAATTATAAAATGATCTCATTTTTGACCACCAAACGTTGTATGTTACCAACAAATCCAACGGGTTCCCTGAAACATCTAACAATTTTTTTTGTAACGGCTTGAGAATTTAAACTAACAGGCTATCGGAATGAAGCTTTCTGTCATATTATTGTATGGGATAGCCATTGCCAACAGAGCAATTTTTATATTATACATTTTGTCAGACGAAAGGACAGTGTCAAGGGTTGAAGGTGTTTTAGTTAGCGTGGGGATATGCATCTCCATACAGTCAACACGGAATCAGTCAAACAACCTAGAATAAGTGGATGTCAATCCTTTTCCTTTTTCCGTATGGTAATTCCATCTCAACTAGATGTTCAGTAACTTACAACCATGATTTACAACAAAATTCTTCATGAGGAAATTCCAAGGTTTCATCGTTTGGAAGACGGTCATATAAAAACATTCTTCCATCAAAGTTCATTGGATCCACAGTCTTCTATGTAATCCATTATTATAATACGGCAAACCATTCCTGTTTGCTGATGACCGAAGAAAGATACATCCATCTCTGCCAAACAAGCCTAAATGCGGCGTTAATCCAAGAAGATATATAGAAACTGGGTTATGTCGTAGAATCTTCCACTGGATGTTGATAAAAGTTGGTTCCACTAAATTGGAAGTAGATCTTACCTCAATGTGTTTCTGCACAAATAGTTGCTGAAACCACTAGCTATTGTTCGAGATTTGAGTTCAGGATGTGGCAGCAGCTTGAACTTTTTCAGGCACATTGTACATCAGGTATCCAGCGCAATTTCAGAAAAATCGTATCCAGATTATTACTATACAAAAATGTATCGTCCGTCTTTGAATATAGCATTCTCGTTTACAGTAATTGTGAGTGCAGTAATTAGATGAAAAGTGAAGTCACTCGGAGAAAATTCGCCAATCCTTATTCAAAGTATTTCCAAAGATATTGACAGCTAAAGTTGGAACGACCTTGGAACTTAACCCTGTCCAGTTCAAGAGCCTCCCTAGTAACTTTATCTCCGAGGATGGTTTATGAATCCTACTAAGCATCAGTGATATTATCAATCGTCTATACATACAAGTTTTGTTATTTGTTTCAGTGACTGTTAAAAGAAGAAGATACCTATGTAGTGTGCCGATTTCGAAGTGTTCTTAAGTTTCGTAATTAGCTCGTTCAGACAATCGTCGCCAAATAGCGCCTGACGGTTTTTATAAATCAGAAGATGAATTCGAAATATTGAATACGTTTATTGTGGCACACAACAAAAAGGATAGCAGACCACAAGCAGACCGAGCAGACACACTAGCGAGTGAATGTGCAAATGTGCGAATGAATTGATAAGATAAAAATGTTCGTACATATACAAAGGGAGATATCTGAGTCATCGCGGTATTTAAGAGAATAATATTATAGCGAATAGGATGAATATGTGCGAAGGTGTACACAATGTTCAGTCATATAAATTCATACAAACCACACAATAATAAAGGCCAATGGTACATATCAGTTATTGTTATACAAATGGCGTGGTTAAATAAATTAACCGAAGGGCTTGACCTAATAAAATGTAAGCGAATTCACCACACATACACTACCATTTACTTTTATTATCTTCTAGAAAAAAAATATTAAATAATTGTTTCACAACTATTCTGATTTTCCATTTTGCGCCACTCCAATCTTTTTAACTTAAAGCATGCCTAATATTGATCTACGTATGACAGATTTTGTATTATTATAATGAAAGTAAAGATTACTGAAATTCTCGTTTATAAGTTTATTCCCGTTGAAACCCGGAATGGTTTCGTCACCATGCTGACGCATGAATATGCCATTTATTATTAATAATTATACGTTTACTAAACTATCAATGAACCTATCATTGCAGAGAATGTCTTCAGTTTGCGTCACCGTTTGTTCCGAAGCAAACAAAACTTCTTAGTTCGATAGTTATTCGAGAGTCAACTTGGAAAGAAATTCTGTAAATCTTACAGCATGAATCGTCCAACTGGGAGGCGAAGCCTGCTGTTTCTGCAAGTCTATCAAGCGCTCATAATTGTGAAGTCAGACCAGAAGTCAGGAATATTTCTGAATATACATATTTTGAAGATAGTTCGCATGTCTAGGAGCCTTAAGTCTAAACCGGCCTGTTTTAGAGTGGCATGCGAAGCACGGTGTACCCTAAGGTGAATTGGTGCGAATGAGTGATCTGGTTCTCAGCTGAGATGCGCTCGGTTAAATTAATGGGACCAGCACCATTTTTAAGTCTCACAGAACTAAATATTTTAGAGATTTGTTAACTAGTAAAATACCTGTCTAATAAACTTACGGTACTACCTCAGAGACCGGTAGTCTACACAATGCGAACACAAAACTCATCAGATAAGAGGTTCTTTGCCACATCCGAAAACTTTCAAACTATCTGTAAACCGAATTTCAATTGATGTCTGAATGTTTAATGTTTAGGGGATGCAGCCAAGGCAAATGCGACTCTTCACTTTATGCGAAGACAGCTTGGTGCTATAACCCCGAAATTATTTTTAACCCTGTTTAAGACTTACGCGCGCCCACACTTGGAGGTTCACAACGTCATCGCACCCCCTCTGCTTAAAAGAGACATTAATCTCTTGGATCGAGTGCAGAGATGAGCAACCAAATGGGTGATATGGTTGAAAAATAAACCGTACGACGATAGACTCCAGCTCTTGGGATTATTCCCACTGAGCTACAGGAGAATCAGAGGTGACCTGATTATGGCGTAAACCATATTAAACACGCCAAACCATCCCAATGTGAGCATCTTGTCGATGCATCACCACCACTCCCCTCGAGGCAATCCTCAAAAGATTGCACATCAATGAGCAAACACTCAGATTCGTGCACACTTTTTCTCATCGCGAGTCGTCGCAACTTGGAATGCTCTCCCAGCCGAGGTAGTTACAGCCCCCTCAGTGGACTGCTTTAAGAAGAGACTTGATAATCACGTACTCACATGCGGACTATCATCTCCCTCTTGGAAAAGCTGTGCCTGATGCATATCTTGAGACCTGCTAGTTGTTACCATTGCAATCTCCTCAGATCACTCAATTAGTCTATCTCGCCTATTCCTCTCCCTTGCTTACACTTCGGTCCCCTCTCACAATCTTCACTACCAATTAATAAACTAAATTCATCTATATATAACTCAGTTATGGAATTTTACTCATATTATCATTTTAATTTACCCTTATTGCCCTTATTACTCTCCACATTACAACTAACTGATCTCCGGTTTGGTAATGTGACGGCTGCTAGTATCCAGAAACCCTACTGCCCTGAAACAAACGTTTCATTCAAATCCCTTGACATACAAACTCACAACCAACTGCCAACTGACTAGAATTAGACAGTCGAGTAGCTAGACCTCCATCCATTGGACATTACCGAACACCTGGAACCGTACCGAAAGAAGAAGAATCGAGCGCGAATAAATCAAATTGGTTTACACTTGCTCGTGAAAAAGATATTGGATATTGGGTATTGGAAAAGCGCTCTCATCGACCGTGACGGCATAGCTATGCGCAACGGTTCTCCACATAGATATTCTTGGGACCCCTGCAGTCCCAACCAAAATAGGGATCATTTAAACAGGGGAAGATTTAACAGTCACTCTAGGTAACTAGGCCTTTAAATTCCTGTCTGATTTTGCTTACGAGCTCCTGTTAATTAGTGATGCCATTTTAAATCGCTCAAATTAGTGGTTTTCGAAATACTTGTTGACATAAAAGTGATTTATTGCATCACCACTTATCTCGTAGGATAAGTTAAGGTTTTTGGATTCATATTAGGCCTAAAGTAACTACCCATTTAGAAATAAGCTTAGTTTGAAATTACGAGGAAACGGTTGCGATGAAATGTAGCTGGAAAGCGTAAACGTCGGGTCAAATGTTGCATGCAAGTCTGTTCTCGTCTATGCGCTTCAGCCTTTACATACTAATCCGCCCCACGTTTTTGTGGACTAGGTAAGGAGAGGTGTCACATGGTGCTTGTTTTTTGGCTTAACATCTTTTTTTAAAGTTGTGTTTATGGCTAGAATAATAGCACCTCGTAATAAAAAGAGTTTCAGTGTAAAATACGTCTGATGATTTGACTTACTCAGAGCCTTTTACCGAAATTCTGAAAGTCGGTTTCAAGCTGGTATCGAATTTCAATCGGGACCTCTGTCTACCAGGGTTGACTATTTCGTTACTTATATTTACTTTGCCATGGATGTGCCCTCAGCGGTTAATTACATAATCTGACTGCGGTCTCCAGTACTAGGCATAGTTGTTCGACTAACATGATTTATCTATGCAGTTTCTATTGTTGGAAACCCATTTTCTTAAGTGTCCACTTGCAGAACTACTATCGTTCTGATCAAACGTCACTTAATTACTACCCATACTTCAGATGAGCTGAACGCTGTTGAAGTCTCTAGTCAAACATGGATTAGGTGCTTAAATGCAATATTTTGGATAAGTTTTCACATATGTGCAGTATGTAATCCGGAACATATCATCCTCACAAGAGAACGCGTATGATTCGAAACTCCTTAATATCTCTTCTCCGGTATTCCATTTTCAAGTCACATCAAGTCTTTTGTACTCCATAACATTCGAGAATGATGTTCCGTTTATAGTGGACCAATGACAAATACTTAGGCGGATATATATCAATCTAACCAACCTATTAGCGATAGTTTTTACCCTGTTCACTTAAATCAGTTTAAAATCCTTTATCTTCAATGTCTCCTTTTGTTGTATTTCAAATTTCCTCAGTATCTGCAAATAGAAATGTAAAGTCCCAAAAATATTCCATTGACATAAAGTCGAAATACTTGAGAACCTAAGATCATGCCTTGACTTACATTTCTCATGGATTTCTGTCTAAATGTTTCTCAATGTACTCTTAATGTGCATTGTCAATCTTATATCTCGCCGTCGATTCCGAGGCTAGTGCATTTCTCCATAAGTTCAATGTAAGACGCCTTATCGAATGCTTTGTCAAAATCACCTCGTAAATACATTCACGGAAAGGCCGTAATATGGGATTTCCATCGAAAACATACTTTAGCATCAGGTTTTGTGATTTAACTTAAGTAAGCAGTTTGTCTCGATTTGTCTCCGAAACTGTTATAACTACACTTACCACAATGACAGGATAAAACTAAGTACTAGCTATTCATTATCGGAGATGTTATTACTTGTAATGTCCTTTTAGTTCTCTGGTAGCTGGGTCCTGGAAGGGGATATGTAAAATAACTCCACACGTGATTCGGTATTAATATCACTGAAAAATGAAATCAATCAAGATCGCATGTTAAAGTCATCCTTTACCTTCGTTACAAGCAGCTCACTAATATCATCATTCCTCATACGAATAATGAGGCTTAGACGTGGGTATATAAACCTTAGTTCGACAAGCCGTTTGCATTGCTTGCATGAAAATATAGTGTAAATACTAGTAAAAGGAGGCCATATTTATTCAAAAAGTTTTATTCGATTAACCATTCTCAGTAGTTGCAGATATTTTAGTATATTTATGACCATAAGCTTACAAACCTTTTCGCAGCAGTTCTAAATTTTTCCTGTTTCATAGGTCACCAATTACTTCAACACCTCCGTTTGGTGGTGGGAGGTTTCCTCGATATCCACAAGACTCCTTGGCTTGTTGGAGTCCTCCTGTAGGTTGTCCGCCTTATTATGTCAATAGTTCTCCTGCCCGATATGGTTCACCAAATTTCAACCAACCATCCTATCACCGAACTTTTGATTCTTCTGTAAGCTCGTATGGATCATCACACTCACCATTTATGTCTAGGTGCAATCCACCTATGAGTATACACTCCAGTTCAATTTCGAATAGTTCTTTGGTATCGACTCAAGACGACTTGAGTTGGAAGTATGACACTTCGCAGCACAATTCTTCAGCATTTGATACTAGTTCAAAATCGCCAAGAAATAGTTGCAAGAAATTCAATGAGAATAATCGGCCATTCAAGAGTTGGATTGCATCCAGTTTATCAGACCCTTGGGAAGGAATGAAACCGATTCGTACACCACACTCCGGTTATTTAGTTGACAAACCGCCTGCACAAAGGCATACTGTTTTATTTGCTCCTCACGAACGTCGAAGAAGGTTAGAGGCAGACGACAATGAGGCAGTGATGACTAGTCCAACAAAGCAACTATCAAGAGTTTGTTCTAATTAAATTTGTAACTTTAACATGGCACAGTTTATCTTATGTTCGGACCATTCTCTTGTGTTTGTGTGCAATAATTTATTTTGCATAATAAATTTATATTTCAAGATTCTACCATGAAATTTTTAAGTCTAGGAAAATAGTAGAACTCCAGTAACTCTGCCAGTATTTGGAGTACTTGGTGTTTATTCAATAAATGAGATATAATTGCCTATGTTTGATACGCCTTATGTGCTCGTCTTCAAATTCATTGCGTAAATTCCAATAAACCATACTATTCTTGTTAGTTAATGGGAAGCATTGATCCAGTGGTTACAACACTCAATTCCTACTAATGGGTCACAAGTTTAAACCCCATTCTACATATCTAAGTTTAAGGAGCTGAATTATGAAATGGTAGAAAAGTATCACTAGCCCTCAAATCGGGGTGTATAAGTCCACATTCAGTAAATAAGTTATGCTATTCTTAGCAATGTGGTTGTAGAATCTTTTAGCTGCCGCAATTTGTTTATAAGTTAGTGTCTTAAATAGTCCTTCTTATATCTTTTTCATGACGGCAAAAGTATCGTCCGCATATCTAAGCCAAATTTATGGTTTAATGTCATTGGCGAAAATATTTGGTTCTATGTGGTATGAATAAGTTGGCTATAATGGGAGAGGGATACTGGAGATCTCATTGTTACTCCGTTTGTTTGTCTGTTTAGCGTCTTGTTGAAGGTAAATAAGGTTGAGTTCAGCATAGTTTTAGGGACTTTGTGATTAAACATATACTAGATGTAGTATGATATTTTTCCAGTAAACCACTAATAGTCTAAACACATATCAATAGAAATACTAAGCATAGGGATACAACATCATAGCTCACCAAGGTTCCATTTTTTGTGATAATTAATTCTGTGATTACATTATGTAAGTTGTATTAAAGTGGCTCTAATATGCTGTTTCAATCAGTCAATTACAACGTAGAACTTCGTACGTAAGTACGTCAGTTTAGGTTGCCATACCACATCAGCACAGAGACGCCACTGTCAGTTCAAATCCCATAGTGGTGGAGATAGTAGAAAAATTACTGGCAATGGAGAATACTAGGGATCAAAAATATTATTCAAGAAGTATTTTGATGTAGGTATGTTTGTGAAGCCCACTATAAGTCTTAGTGGGACGTCTGGTAAGCCATAAAAACTGATGTAGTGCGAGATTTGAGACATTAAGTAAACAGTAAAGAGATGCCAATAAGTGGTTTTAGTTCCTTCAAAAGTTGACTTGTCTCTGATTTGTCTTTGTTCTTGACCATTTGAAGTTCTTCTGGATCAATCTTTTGATGCAGTCCTGTGGATAGATGTTCAAAACATTTAGTGTTATAATCCTTTTTATTCATGATTACTGTTGTATTACGTCTATCAACTATTGTGATTATAATATTTCTGTCTTTTAGAAGTTGGTGTAGAGCCCTCAATTCTTTCCAAATATTCAGTCAGTTACAACGAAGAACTTCTTACGTAGGTACATCAGTTCAAGTTTCCATACCACATTAGCTCAGACGCAATTGTCAGTTCAAATCCCATAGTGGTAAGGTAGTAGAAGTATGAGCAGTAATAGGAAGATTAGGGTTTGAAGATATTATTCAAGAAGTATAATATAGTGAAATAAACTTAAAAAAAGAAAGTTAAGGGTGATGAAGAATCCAGAGCATTATGATTTAAGAGAAGCTAAAGAATGGATGCACCTGCGCCTTTTCAAACGGTTTAGAGCAAGTCTATCATTATCTTGAAGTAACCATTTATCAATTAAAGAATAGGACTGAACATTATATTGTATATCTAACTTGATTAAAAAATAACGCCGATCGAGGGGTGATGACTAAACTTTTATCTTCGTTAGTATCTAATTATGTGCTCACGTGAAGCACACGCGTACACACAGATTCATTCGGTACAATCCTACTTTTAGGTCAAATGAGTTGTGAACGGCAACCCTGCATTTGAGTGATAGTTCCCCCGGCAATGGCTATACTCGCGTAGACAAGAGAGCGTTTCGCGAGAGAGAGGACTCTCCCCAGTCTGTCGTACTATGGCATATTGGGGCTAATCATTGGTCGTCTCAGTTTCTCAAGAAAAGACTAGAGCCTTTTTGTTACAACCACCGAATCAGTTTGATCAATAGTGCCTAAAATGTGAGCCGAATAATCGTCTATCACATAACTAGGGTCTCTGAATAGTTAACATAGGAAAACTAAGTTAATTTCAAACCTAAACAGGAGTTTAGAACATAGATAAACATAGTAGCACCTAACTATAGTGATATGTATTGACCACAAAACAGAATTACCCTCTGCTAATCGACGGGTTTTGTAACAGTTTCTGTCATTGAAGCGAGTACCAGTAAAGTACATCAACCCTGTATGGTCGGTCTGCTTCTACACTAATGATCTAATCAGAGTTTATGTGAAAATGCTATCAGAATTTATCGCATTAAGTACTGTTCGTTAGGTTTACACACTGTCCCCATTTTTAGGTAAATTTGCCATTGGCATTCTCTTAGAGATATCGTCCTCATCATCTTACTTTTAAAGGTTTAATCTCGTACTAGTAAGTTCATTTGTTGACTCAAAACAGAGTGATAACTTAATTCATAATATTTAGACCTTTGGCTGTAAAATGAGGCCTTTAAAGTATGGGATATTGTAGGCAACCAGTATTCTATTGTAAACATCTTAAAAGCATTGTTCATACATGTTAGAACTTCAAAGTAATAAGTGTTGCAGTGAGATGCATGGTACGAGTTAAAGATGGTAAATAGGTTGATATAAACTTCTTCGTTTGAAATAATTACTATATATGACCAGCTACCTCAACTCACGATGTTTATCATTGTACGATTAGCTTGGAAGGAAGTCTATGAAATAAATGACTAACAGACAGTACTGTTGGTTGTGGTGGTGTTTCGTTCTCTGAGCTTAGCTTATTTTCTATTTGTGTTCATGATCTACTTCGTCAATTAATTAGACATCACTTAAAAACCTGAATTGTCAATTCAAACTCTTCACTTCATCAAAACCACACTCAGTTTTTGTCAACACGTGTTATTTACTAAGAAATCGTTGTTGACTTGCAGTGATCTAAATTATTCTCTAATGTGATTTCTCATGGTGGAAACAACAAGATATTGTTTTGTTCAATGACCAATTTGTTCCAGTTTTTGTTTATTACAGTGGATTATTGTAAACATGAATTCCAATATGTGAATAATGTGTACATAAGAGATTACTCAAAATAGCAAATTTTTTGCAAAGACATTTATCTTTCATAAAACGATTAAATGTGTTTAGTGAACATACATGTGCATATTATTCAATAAATGAGAAATGTAAAAATCTATGACAATTTATTGTTATGAATACCACTACAATTGATTGATGAAACATAATTGAAATTGAATGAAAAAGTCAACAGACATTCTATCAAACTTTTTTATTTTTATTTTACAGTGTTAGAAATAAAAATAAATTATTAGTAGAGGTAAAAGTAGAGTTGTATAAATTATACTGCTTTTCGTACTAATATTACAATAGTCCTTATCACAACAACTGTAAGTGTGGATGAGAATTTGTTGTAATTCTTCATCTTCTGATTCACACTGATCAGCACATCTTTTAATTATCAACGGTTGATTACCGAGTGACAATGACTTGTGAATTATATGAAATGGTAATGAGACAAAAGTGTTTTGAGAAATGATGGTATTATGAGATAAATAAACATTGGATTATGAATATGCTTATTAACATATATTGATTGTCATCAACTGATTAAAACACAGTGTTCACTTCACATACTAAAAAAATTACCAAAGGTTTAGAGGAACAATGAACGTTAAGTTTTGGTTGGTCGCACTGCATATACAGCACTTTCCATTAAACTTAAAGTTACATTAACCTTATACAAGCTCTCTACTCGAACACCACTGGCCGAGTGAGAGCTTATGGTGAACTGTCATCGGAATTCTTTACTTCAAGTGGTGTCCGTCATGGATGTCCACTCTCTCCATTCTTGTTTAATTTTATCATAGACATGCTCCTAGATATAACCTTATCCTCGTCTGAATTTTCATAATTAGACCTTTTACCAGGAGGCTCGCTTATTGACTTAGAATATGCAGACGACACAGTCCTAACTGATGAAGACGCTGACAAAATGCAGAGTCTTCTGACTACCCTGAGCAACAATGCAAGCATGTTCGGGATGCGGTTCTCGCTCTCAAAATGTAAAATGTTGCTTCAAGATTGGGTTTCATCGGCACCTGAACTAGTGATAGGGAGTGAAGCAGTCGAGCGCGCAAATCGCTTCACATATCTGGTGAGTCTCATCAGTGCTGATGGCCAGGTGACTGATGAAATCTCAGCTTGGATACAGAAAGCTCGATTGGCTTTTGCCAACCTGTGTCACTTATGGCACAGGCGAGATATCCGCTTTTTAACCAAAGGACGAGTGTACTGTGCAGCAGTTCGCTCCGTCCTACTGTACGGATGCGAGACTTCCGTGGGTTACTAGTCTTTAATCATCGATGTCTCCGAAGCATAGCTCATGTATCATGGGACAACCGTATAAGCAATTCTGTCGTTAGGAAATGAGTTCTAGGTAGGGATGGCAAATCAATAGATGAAATAGTGAAACTTCATCAGTTGACGTGGTTGGGACATGTGTTGCATATGCCTAACCATCGACCGCCTCGACGAGCTATGTTTTGCAGTGTACAAATATCTCTGTAACTCTTTACCTGTAAGACTAGTTAATGCGTGAAATATAGGTTGATAGGCATCTGTTGATTGTTTGTGTTATTTATTTAAAATGAATGAGCCAGTATCTCTATTGACACTATTTACTATTATAAATCACGACACTGCTTTTAAAATACCTTAATTTATTGCATTAATATATCTAAATCATTTTACAACATGGGGGAAACTACTTTGTTCAATAAAAAATTAGGATTTTTTCTTTTACTTTCTCAAATTATACCAGTTAACTTAGTTTTAAATGTCTTAATAATTTTATATGAAACTAGAAATTATGTGGTAAATTGGTATTTATGATAAAAAAATTCAAATAACTACTGTATACTGTCTACACTTACTGCACACCATTTACAGTCATCTTTGACCTTGACATCCGGAGAAGATTGATTGAATGGTAATGGACATTCAAAACATTCATAACATTTGATTGAAAAAGCTGAAGTGAATAAGGATGAAATACAGTTAGAATAATAATAATAATACTAAAAAGTAACTTTTATAATTTGTTTATGTATACATGGGACTACGGAATGAGCAACGCTGTTATTAGGAAACGGGTGCTATGTAAGAATGGCAGATCAATAGATGAAGTAATGAAACTTCATCAGTTGAGGTGGTTGGGACATGTGCTGTGTATGCCCAACCAACGACTGCCTCGACGAGCTTTGTTTTGTAGTGTAGGAGTAGGTTGGATGAAAGTTAGGGGCGGCCAGACCAAAACATGGCACAAATCCATGAAGTCACTGACAAGTGGACTGAGTCATGTTGATAGTTGTCGACGACCTGGTTGGAGTGCGCGAGATGATAATAATCGATGGTTAGATACCCTGAATGACATGGCTCAGAATCGTTTGCAACGGCGCAGGTGCACTTAATCGTTGTGTCCCACGAAATTCTAACCTTCTGAATTCCTCATCACCTTTATCTTTCTCTTTCTAAATTTACCTGACTGAATTATCTTTCTTGAATAACATCTTCCTACCCTAATCTCTCCGATTACTTCTAATACTTTTACTACCTCTACTACTATGGGATTTCAATTGACAGTTATACCTCTGTGCTAATATGGTTGGGCAACTTGAACTGCTGTACTTATGTGCAAAGTTACACGTTGCTGTTGTTGTTGTTGTTGATGATAATGATGAAGATGATGCTGATGGTGATGAAGATGATGATGACGTCGATGATGCTGATGATGTTGTTGCTGTTGTTGTTGATGATGATGATGATGATGATGTCGATGATGCTGCTGCTGATGATAATGATGTCGATGATGCTGATGATGATGACGCTTTATTAGTTGAAAAGTAAACATTTCATAATCTTATAAACTTTGATAAAAACATCTAAGGATTAAATGAACTAAAAAATAATAATACTGAATTTATCTGGCAAGTACAAACAATTTATATCATGACGACATTAGTAAAATAGACGGATCGTTAAACAGCGAACTGGTGCCTTATTCACTGAGAAGACAAAAAGAAGGATTGACATACGTTGGTTGGGTTTTTCCATTTCATAATGAAATTCACAGTAAAACGAAAAAATTCTACTGCTTTCAAGTTAAATGATTAATTAACATCCTGACTAACAACATTTTTAGTTTAAACATTTGGTTAAGAAATTTATAATCAAAATTTGTACTATTGTTAATCCATAATAGAGTTCCTTCATTTCCTCTTGTGTGATAGGTATTATAGTTGTCACCCGCCTGTTACCTGTCTATTATCTTTCAGTTCATGATGAGTACAGTATTTGAAGTGAATATATCTATACACGGAACTATTACTGGAGCAGCAATCAAATTAATTTTATATGAGATTAGCTTACGAAGTAATTGGCAATAATTTTACACTGACAACTAACTGATCACAATGTCAAATTAAGATTGATTGGTTAAGGATAGAAATAGACTGGAAGAAAATTAAAAGAGAAAGCAAACAGAGCAAATTTATTTGTTGTTAGTTTATTATATTCACAGTCTTTTTTACTCAGAGCCATCTTTGGCTCATCTATGTATATTTGTTCATTTCTATGTATTAATGCAATGTAAACTGTTCTCGTGTGTACATAAAGGAATGTTTGAAATATGGGAACGGAATCGTGGACTGGTGGTAAATGGTCTATTTTCTTCCTGTTCGTTTGAGGGCAAGTTAGTAATGGGCTGTCGTTCTAGCATAGATTATTAAAGATTCCCATTGTGAAAATAAGAACAACACATACAGGCGAACAATATTGCTGTTTTCGATTAGATCGTCATCAGACTGCTTTACTCTAATATACATGAATATTTATATGAAAATGTTAAACCAATCAAGGCAATTCGAGTGATAATCGCAATGAAATGAAAAAGATTACGTAACTACATGCAATAGACAAAAGTTCAAGTGGATAGTAGGAAGACAGGTGTACTGATAGTAGTAAGAAAATTATAAAATATGATAACTAAAGTTTCCCCATTTTCGAAACCATGAATCGATCAACGTTAGACCACCATTAGAAACATGGAAGCACTGAAACACGGCCGTCAAGTCCTGGTATGGGACTCCTCAGCAGTGAGCATCCACGACTCCTGCTCCTCGCAGGATTTGAACCCAGGACCTTCGGTATTGTAAGCGAACACCTAACCATCGGACCACTGAGCCGGTATTGAACGGTCTTAATGTCTATCTTGATCAATTCACGGAGTTGCGCAACCTCATACAGTCTTCAGTAGTTACTGTCTACACCCGAACAGGTTGAACTTCACTGGTGACGTCTTCCCACAAGAACTCGGAGAAGATTCCTCAAGGAACTAGTCACTAGTGAGCACAGGTAATTTGTGAAGATTGTTAAGTTACACATTTTTTGAAACCATGAATCGAGCAACTGAAGGTTTATCAATAGTAGGTCAAGGGTGGATGAACAGACTTCAAATAATCGTTAAAATCATCAAAACCATTACGTAATAAGTAAATGTGTAAAAATAAAAAGTAAAATAAAATAAGAAACAAAATATAATGTCAATCGTTAGTTACGTCATATCCGGCCACGGAAGAGATAGGGGTGTCACGAATTTCTTCTGAACACATAAATTGGGGTTGAATGTACGAATTCCTATGGCTTCTGCTATGTGTAGGAGACGGAATGGAACTCCGTTGGGAAATGATTGAGGTATACGATAGATCACCCGAAAAGATCTAGATTTATCTACAATATAACCACTATCAACCAGGTGTGCTAAGATCGAACTGCGTATTATTTTTGACTGACCCTTCGTAAACCATGCTGGGAGATGTTCACTCATTCGTTGGTTAAGTTGTCTGCCTCCTCGTCATCTAACTGAATGGGTATATTAGGTGACGTGCATTAATGGAGCCTTTTGGAGGTCATGGTGGCGGCTAACTCTTCGTGGCTCCGCCAGGCAACTTGACGTTGTTTACAGCTCTGCGGCTAAAAGCCGTTCTGAAGGCTTAGGATGCTGTGCCTAGCATGGTCCAGAATAATGACCTTGTTCATGGTCACAGGCCGTGGATGCGGTTTTGCCACACTGGGGGATTAGGACCGAACGTCTCCAAGCCTGAATCCCGTCCACTGAGTGTAGATAAATTTGAAATAATGGGATATAAATTTCCAGGTTGCTTGAGGGCGGCCCAAGACGATTTGTTTGGGGAAGCAGCCGTAAAGATCCTGGTTTTCCTACTTATCTAGTACAATTAGTGAATTGCATTTCCTCAGTGTCCTCATTATTTCGTCAAAACCTCATTAGACTGTAACATTTGAGCAACATGGAATTTCGATCAGAGTCACATTCCACATTTCAATAAGTTTGTTTACATTGTCTTCCTACTGTATAATGTAATCACTAGTGACTAATAATATACTTTGAATGTTTTAACAAATAACCTCAGTTGCTGACGTCGTAAATAGTTCAATTGACAAATCACTCACAACAGTAATTAAATATATATATATATATATATATATATATACGGAATTATCAATCATCAACTTTTATAAACTCACCGTAATCTGTATTCACCACAAGCACTGATATCATCAACAAAATTTCCATGTTACTTTTCATGATCCTGCACTAATTAATCACCTATTACTTATGATACGTAAACTCTCCAACTCTTAAATATAAACATCCTTTTTATGTTCTGTACTTGAGTAACGCCAATCCGCTGTACTAATGACAACACCGAACGTTAGACTCCCACCGTTCAAAAATAGAAAGACGGAAGACCTTAGAGAACACTTATTAACAGAATCAAAAGTATACAATCAAACGTGCGTATTTATACAATTATATATAAATAATCGATATTGTCGTTTGAATATTTGAACACAAATCAAATAGTTCATCGATCGACTGCTCTTGAAATATTTAAACATTTAATCGATAAGTTCATCAGTCCACAATGTGTGTGGCTTTCTTCTTGATTGGCTATCCCAACACCTCCCCGGAATAAGATTTTTTTTCTTAAGTCCACTTGTAGTCTTACGACTGGTTTGCGGTGGCGTTCCATTCTGCTTATAGTTTTTCGAGTTAGTGTCTCCGACCTTCCATTTTCTTCGGTATTCCGGGACAAATGTGTAGTTGTCGGTTCTGTGATCAACTCCAGCGGTAGATTTACACGATTATCACCTGAGCATGCCATTCTTTCGTCCTTTCGCCGTTGGTTCGTGTGTCTAACACAGCTTCCGAAAGCTCCGGTTATTCGATACAAAACTCTTCCTAGTCTTTGGACGACGGTTTCTGGTAACCATTGATTTTTCCCCAGATATGATTTTAGGAACACTTTATCGCCAACGTTGAAGCTGCGAATATTTGAACTTGGCCTGTACCTACTCACTCTTTTAGGGGGCAACATCGCGTTAAAAATAGTCCGAATAATTCTTACAAACACTGCTTCAACTGGAGACTTCCCGTCTGAGACCGTTTGGGTCGGAGTGCTTCTGTAAACCGCCAAAAATCTAGTGATTACTTGGCTAGTTGGCCCCTCGTCTCCCCCTTTCAGTAAAGCTCTTTTGAAGGTGTCCACGAAGCGTTTTGCTTGTCCATTGGATTGCGGATGGGGACCGTAGATGCGTTGTGCCATTTGAACTGCAGAATCGCGTGAATGAGTCTGCAACAAATTGTGGTCCATTATCAGTTACCAAGGTTTCTGGACTTTCGAAACAACTAAATAAGGTAGACCGCTTCTGAATAGTTTCTGAGGCTGTACAATTCGGCATGCTGTATATTTCTGGCCATTTTGTATACGCATCTACAATAATTAGAAACATTTTACCTTGGATTGGGCCAGCGAAATCTGCAAGGAATTCTCTCCCAAGGTCCAGTAGGTTTCTGCCATTGTTGAGGCTCACATTTCGAAGGGTTTTTTGCGGCTTGTACGCATGAAAGGCAGTTTCGGCATTTGGTTTCTATATCTACCAATGAGTCTAGACAAAGCGTCAGCTCGTCCGAAAGAAGTAGTAGGTTGGTACTTAATTTTGAAGTCGTGACCCAATAATGTGGTTCCACATCGTTGCAATCTGTTCGCAGTATAGACTGGGATCCCTTTCTTTGACCCAAATGTGGCTAGCAGCGGTTTATGGTCAGTTAAGAGTGTGAAGCTGCGTCCAAATATCATCTTGTGAAATCTTCTTACGGCGAAAATAATTGAAAATGCTTCTTTCTCAATCTGACTATAGTTACATTCTGCTGTAGTTAAAGACCTTGCTGCATGCGAGATTGCCTTCTCTGATCCATCAGGCCTGATATGCGAAATGCTTGCTTCAATGCCGTAGTTTGAAGCATCTGACGCTACTACAATAGGGAGGAATGGGTCATAGTGTGTCAGCGACAGATCCGAGAGTAGCAGTTTTGACTCGAAAAGGTAACCGATTATATCGGAATAGGCCCTTAAGTGTGTTTATAGTAAGCATATCTTTACATTCATCAGCAACAGAAATCTGTAAATAAGCTTCCGATAAATCCAGTTTCGCAAACACCTTGCCTCCATTTAGCTTAGCGAAAAGATCCTCAGGTATAGGCAAGGGATACTGGTGGGGTTCTAGAGCATCTAGC